AATTCAATACTTGGCAATATACGTACCTTAATCTGCTTGAACCAAAATGAACACAACTGAATAATCATTTTGTTATGCTGGTTTAGCATTAGGCTGTTCTCCTTGTTGAAGGAATTTGTAAAGATTATTTTCCTACAGATCCCTAGTTAAGAAGGAAATATTTGTACTAATCCTATATCATGTCCATGTTTTTTTATTGGGTTCATTATAAGTTAAAATCTATAGCTGTCTTCAGTAAGTGAAGAGCATCTGTCTGGAGGCATATATCCCCAAGCAATCCCTGGTTTAAACACTTGAATAAGAAACATTTATTTACATAGGGATAGTTTACGTTACCATAAGTGTCATTATGAGAATTGTCCACACAAAGTAATTGTATACACATATACACTGTGATGTAATGAATATGCATACACCTGGGTTCCTTCTCAGTAATATGATTGGCTGGTGTCAGCCATAAATACAGACTGATGTGGTGGTTCAAGGGGACACCTATTGATGATGCTTGTTGGCTTCGCCTATTTCCTACGCCTATTGCCTATCACTACGACGAGGACCAGTCCATTACGGTTACCTGCTAGATTGTCCTACTCGGTTACATTAGTCCAAAACCTCTTTGCTACTTCAAACAAATATATCCCTTTCCAAGACATATCACACTTGAACACAAAAGCATTCCTTGAAAGAAAGTTCTTACTTTTAAGATGAGTATTAGAGTGACTAGTCCCTGAAAAGGAAGCAAAGAGATGCAACAGTCATGTCTGTATGAATTGTATTGTCTTTATGATGTGTAGTCTGGTAAATAAAACATGGTACATCCATGTATTGACTACCAGCAAGCAAAGAAAAAGAATTTCTCTTTTCACTACCAAGCGGGCAAGGGGGGTTCTATTGATATTGTTACATTGTGATAAGCAGATTTATATTCTACTCATTTTCACAAAAAAGAATAAACACCCAAACCATCTGCTCTTAAATCAAAACCCATGACTGAACATAATTATGAATTGTGAATACATGTTGGTTGATGGTAAAGTTATAAAACCAAATGAAATGACACACTAATTTAAGATGAAAGATATATTAAGCATAATAATGATAATGATTAGATAGAACAGGAATTCGTAATAATGATGATGAAAATCTATTTTTCAATAATTATAATGGAATTCATATTTTGTGTGTATGTACTAAAAACGTGGAAAAATTGAGAGGGTTTGTCTCTCTCAATGTTTTCACATTTTTAGTACATACAAAATATGAAAAAAAAATGAAAAATATGTCATTACCTTTCACTCAGCTTTGCAATTAATGTTAGTACTAAAGGTAAACTAATGTCTAAAAAGTTTGCACACGGCTAACTTTTGTTGTCAGCATTGGAATATACAAGCCTCAATCCTCAGTTAACTGCCACCATTTACAGGCTTTAAGCTTATTTTTTCTGGATCTCTTGTTTTATAAGTTAAATAAACTTAATACTAGAAGAACTATGCAAATTCTGGGGTTTAATGTTTTGAAAAAAATCTGTGATAAACTAAAATGCACTAACATGGTTCGATGTTTGTTGAAGAATAGGAAACTCAGAATAAATTGGAAAATATTACAATATTCTTTTATTATATAGATTTTTCTGTTGTATTTTATATCAATTTTGTATTATCTGTTAAGTATTTGGCTTATTAGTGGGACTGATATTTTTTATCAGATTAGTTTCAATGATTTATAATAATAAAAATAATCATGAATGTCACATTCTATCATGTTAATATAAACAGCTTCTTTAGAAATGATAAGCATAGTGTTTTGATAATATGATAAACATAGTGTTTTGATAATATGATAAGCATAGTGTTTTGATAATATGATAAGCATAGTGTTTTGATAATATGGATCATTCTGTGACATGAACTTTGCTGATTTATTGCATTCAAAGCAGATCTGCATTATGAGACTAAATTTTACATCAAATATTACTTAACTTTATTCAGTGATAATATTCAATGATGTTAACCTTCAATAGACACTGATATATTCATTTGCAGTGACTTTTGACAGAGATAAACAGACTGGTGGAAGGCTTACAGTCACATCACAATGCAACACCAGATCACAAAAGTTAAGCAACATTGAGCCTAGTCAGTAGCTAGATGGGTGCCTGCTTAAGGATACCAGATGCTGTAAGATGGGATGTGTAGGTTGTGTTATGGATAATGACTTGGAATTGCTAATGGGATAGCCAAATTCCAATTCCTGTTGGGTTTGTTATATTCACTTACGTACAAATACCCTTGGAAAAAGTATCAATCTCTAGTGAACAAAACAAGATCTAGATTTAAAATTCAAATGCTAAGCACTGACTCATTGATTTTGTTAGAAATTAAAAAGACTCAAATTTACAAACTTTGCTTAACACACAAGCAAAAATATCCCAAACAAAACTCATGAAATTTCACACCTTGATGCAAAATGTTTTTTGGCCAATAGAAAACTAGGAAACATTTGAAAACAAAATTCAAATAATTTTCAGTTTTTAGAAACAAATTCTTTTATGGACCTTTTTGTGAGCCGATGCAAAGTTTCTTCATCATCCAATGGAAAAGCCTAAATCATATCAGGGAGTAAATTCCCAAATGACCTTTTCAAGCCCCACAAACAAAATAAAAGACGGGCAAGTTTGCCTGTCACCAGAGAGAAGGAGATGAGCATATAAACATGTCCCTTGCTCCCCTTTGTGTCACTAAATCATTATTATCTTAAAAGAAAATTCTTACGATCTAAAAATTTTCTGACTTCAAATAACCTACAAAGGGTTGATAGGCTACAGAAAAGAAATCAAACCAACCAATACATGTTGAGTTCTTTTTTTATGACTATAATATTAATCAACTGGTTACAATGGTAAATTAATGATAAAGATTAATGTTCATGAATGTCATTTGATTATGATCACAGGAGAGGTCAGCTGTGTAATTAACAATAAGTGATAGATATGCATAAATAAAGAAACTCACTTAATCATGGTGAGACTATTGATAAAGTCATAAGCAATGTCTGAATAAACCAACCAGTAGAAATGATGCTTTTGAATATTTACAGAGAAAAACAATGTGTCTGACATTTGATTATAATTGAAGAGGTTGCCGCTCAAAGCATTGTGGGAAAATATCAAAGACAAGAGAAAGCATCTCTAAAAGTCACAGATATATCAATTCCTCAAAGTATAATATTTTCCCTTGTTAAATTGAAATTGTGATCAATAATGATTAGTTTTACACATCTTCTCTTTACTAGAGTATATCATTTTCTTATAAATGACAATTATAAATAAAGAATGAAACAGATTTATTTGTTGCTTTCATAATGAATGTGTTAATGAATTTTAGGCAAAGCTCATAAGCAGGGTGCAATGGTGTCATGCAGCCCCCTCAACCTATGAACTGGGGTGGGGACACTCTACTACACTTCAATTTTCATAAGCTAGTATTCATATAAAATACAAATTTTATTGTAACCTAATTATTTACAATAATACATCATATGCAATATAAGTGAAGAAACTACAAAAATTTAAAATACATACAATGTATCTAAATACATATTAGAGACCTGTCATAATAGATTATTCCATCTTCTTAAATAAATCAACAATGTTTTATGGCAATTTTTAACATCAACTTGAGATTTTTCTTGTTAAAAAACTGAATAATTTAACACATTCAAAATTATAGATAAAATAGTGAATTTTATATCGTGTTTTTTTCAAGACTTACCATGAGCATAATAAATTTGTGGCTTTGAATGAAAAAAGATCCCAGAATGATGTCAAATTTCATAAAAATGTGTCATCCTTTAATAGTTAGTTGTGCTTAGTTTAATTTGTAATGTATATAAATGTAGGTAGAAAAAAAAATGTTGATAAGATAGTGAGGGTCACAAAGTACTACCCAGGGCCCCCAATCAGGCTCTCTCAGTTGGTAGTATGCACCGACCCTACTCATAAGGAATAATGGTGTCATCATTGCCTGTTTGGCCAATATGCTCAGAACTATGATGACAGAATGAGTGTGATGAAATTTTTGGTTTGTTTGAATAGCAATAACTAACATCTATCTAAAAAAAAAAAGAAAAATGAATGACTAATTCTTTTTATGTTGGTCATTTTCAGTCCTGTATTCAAACATTTAACAGAAATCAAAGAACCAATTTTATTTCTTTATGTTTATAAAATATAATTTGTAATAAATGTCTAATATTGATTCTAACATTGTACAAAAAACATTGTGTTGAAATTAAATTTAAGTATAGTTGTTTCCCCTTATTCCTGTTGCAGTTACTTGTTTACAACAAAAGATGTAAAAATTCATTAAGTCTAATTTAATAATGGTCCCAAAGTACAAGTGTCATGACGCTGGTAATTTAGATATGCAAAAGAGAAACTATAAAACACTTCCTTTAACCAAAAATATACATTTTTTGACTGAATGAGGAAAGAAAAAATTATATGTTCAGGTAGTTAAGATTAATAGTAATATAAATCTTCTGTATATAATTTTTCGATTTTATTACTAGTTATTTTGTTAATAATTTATGCCTTATTTAATAACTAAATTTTATTATAGGTATGTATGGATAGGAAAAATAGCATATTCATTTTGATACTATCTGTTGTTTTAGGTATTGACTGGAGATTTTTAAACATCCTCACAAATAAGGGAGGACAACTGTAATTGGTTAAAAAACCTATTTGTGTGGGGGTGGGGGGATTGTAATAATGCTTTATCATAATTTATTTCAATTCAAATAGAAATCATTTAAAATATAAGCCAAGTCTAACATTTTTTATCTACTTTTTAGGAAATAAAATTTTTATAAAGGTAAATGGTTATTTCTGCTTTTCATATCAATTTTAAAGATGCATTTTATTTTTTGTTAGCAAAATCAATGATTAAATTGAGAAAAAGGTATTTTTTAAGTCAATATAAATTGTTTCTTCCTCTTAGAACAAGAGATGCTGGATTGTTATTAACTCGACCTCCTGAATATATTGGAAGATACAAAATGGTTCGGCACATCAAAGATAGTCGAGCAGAACATGG